TTCTCCATTTGCTGGGATAGAATACTATATATATATATATATATATATATATAAAATATATAATATACTATAATATATATAGTAGCTCACACTTACTAATTGTATTTTTTTTTTTGGCCTTCAAAAAGCTGTGCTTATATTTTATCTGCCTTGATCTATTATTTCCTGAAAAGTATATATTAAAACTTCCAGCTAAAAATGCTCATTGATTTCTTTCTGGAGTTCTGTCATTTGTTGCTTGGTATACTTTGAGACTATATTGTTAGGCACATAGATATTAATGGTAGCTCTATCATACAAGAAGTCTTAAAAGTAGCCAGGGAAAAGCACCAAGTTCTTTCAAAGAAATAATTAATAGACTGACAAATAACTTCTCAACAGGAATGGAAGCCATAAATTGAATATATTCAAAATACTGAAAAAATAAATTTCAACTAAAAATTTTATTTCCAGTGAAATTATCTTTCAAGATGAGGATAAAATAAATGAATAGTCAAAGATTAAAACTGAGAGAGTTTGATACCAACATTCCCTAATTAGAGGAATTTCTAAAGATGTAGCCCAAGCAGAATGACAATACTCCTAGATAGAAGGCTTTAGGTGCAAGGAAAAATAAATAGCAAAGAAAGTCTTAAATATATGTGTAAACTGAAACAAACATTGGGAATATAAAATAATAGAAACAGTATCATGCAGGTTATAAAAAAGATGGCACTAAAATATATTATTACAATAGTATTTATTGTTGGAAGATAAAATATCACCAGAGATAAAGTATTACAAGATTCTTGTATTATTCAGAAGGATAATAAAGGCATTGACTAAATTAAGTCTTTCATAAGTTAAAAGTGAAGGTTAAAAATTTCTGGGGTAGCTGATTAAAGGATAGAAATACAAAATATCTTCTCCAAATTAGTAAAGAGAAAAGGACTGAGAAAAAATATTCACTCATCTAAAAGAAACCAAAGCAAAAGAGGTGAAAAAATTAAAAGGGAAAAGGACAGTAGAGAGCAAAAATATGACAACAGAAATTTGAGAGGCACTGAAGTTTAAGAAGGAGGAAATTAGGAGGATAACAAAAGAAATCAATGAAATTGAAAGAAGAAAAACAATGGTGAAAAATCAGTAAATCAAAGAGCTGTTTCTTTGAAAAGATAATAAAATAGATACACCACTAGTAAGACTGACAAAGAAAAAACAAAACAGGGAGAGAAAAGACATATTTACAAAGCTCAGAAATGAAATAGAACTCATCACTATAGATGCTGACATGGGAATACTATTAACAACTCTATAGAAAAAAATTTAGATAAAATGTGCCAATTGCTAGAAAAGTACAAATTATCATAGCTTGCCAACAGGAAATAGATAATTTGAATAAACCTATAACTTTTAAAGAAATTGAGTTCATAATTTTAAAACTCCCAAAAAGGAAATCTCCAGGTCCAGAGGGTTTCACAGGAGAATTCTACTCAATGTGTAAGTAATAGTTAACATCAATTCTACACAATTTCTTCCAGAAAATAAAAGAAGAGGAGCTCTTCTGAATTCATTCAATGAATTCTATATTACCTTGGTTCCAAAACCAGACAAAGATGGTCCAGAAACAAAAACAAAACTACAGACCAATATCCCTCCTGAGTATAGATGCCAAAGTTCTTAAAATATTAGCAAAGAGAACTGAACAACATATGAAAAGAATTATACACCAACACCAAATGGGATTTATCCAGGAATGCAAGGCTGGTTCAGTGTTTGAAAATCAATCAGTATAATCCATCATATTAACAGGCTAAAGAAGGAAACTCCCATGATAGTATCAGTCAATGCAGAAAAAGCATTTGACAAATTCAAGTTCACCTATTCATGATAAAATTTTTCAGAAAAATCAGAATAGAGGGAACATCCTCAATTTGAGAAAGAGCATCTACCGAAAACCTACAGCTATTAATACATTATACTTAATGGTGCAAGACTGAATGCTTTCCTCCTAAGACTGGGAATGAAAGAAGGATGTCTGCTCTAATGACTCTTATTCAACATAGTGCTAGAAGTTCTTTCCCACGCAATAAGCAATAAAAAGAAATAAAAGGCACACCAATCTAAAAGGGAAAAATAATACTGCTCTTATTTCCAGAAGACAAGATTGTCTACATAGAAAATTCAAAAGAAGCTTTTTAAAAGAATACTCCTATGACTAATGAATAAGTTCAAAAAGGAGGCAAGATACAAGATAAATATTAATTGTATATCTATATATCAGCAATGAACACCAAAATTAAAAATATAATACCATTTGTAATCACTCAAAATAAAGAAGTCTCTAGGTTTCTAAATCTAACAGAATAGGTATAAGACTTATACACTGAGAACTATAAAATGGTGATGAGAGAAATCAAAGAAGATCTAAATAATCGGAGAAACTTTCCTTGTTTGTGGATTGGAAAAATCAATATAGTAAAGATGTCAATTCTCCCCAAGTTAATATAGAGGTTTAATGCAATTACTATGCAAATCCCAGCCAAAAAAATTATTGATATAGACAATATTATTCTGAAATTTATATAGAAAGGCAAAGGAACTTAATAGCTAAAACGATTTTGCAAAAGAGGAATAAAGAGAAAAGAATCATTTTACCCGATTTCAAGACTTATTATGTAACTATAATAATCAACACTATGTGGTATTGAAAGAAGGACAGGCACATAGGCCAATGGAACAGAACAGAGAACCCAGAAATAGACTTCTATAATAGCCAACTGATTTTTGACAACGGTGTAAAAGCAATTCAATGAAGGAATGACCATCGTTTCAAAAAATGGTGCTAGAGCAATTGAATATCTCTAGGCAAAGAAATGATTATTGACCTAAACCTCAAACATTACATGAAAAGTAACTCAAAATCGATCATAGATTTAAACATAAAACTATAACATTTTTCAAAGATAACAGGAAAAAAATCTTCTTGACCAAGGATTTGATGAAGAGTTCTTAGACATAATACCAACAGCATGATCCTTTAAAGAAAAAAATCAGTAAATTTGACTTCATCAAAACTGAAATATTTGTTCTCCTAAAGACCCTGTTAAGAAGATAAAAAGACAAGCTACAGACTAGGGGAAAATACGCAAATAGTATATCTGACAGAGGATTAGAATATAAGAAGAATTCCCAAACTCAGTAATATAAAAACAATCCAACTAGAAAATGGGCAGAAGTCATAAAGAGACATTTAACCAAATAGGATACAGGAATGGTGAGTACATACATGAAAAATGTTCATTATCGGCCATTAGGGAAATAAAAATTAAGCTCATGATGAGCTATCACTACACATCTATTAGAACAGCTCAAATTTAAAATAATGACGATGCCAAATGCTGGCAAGGACGTAGAGAAAGTAGATCTCTCATACACTTCTGGTGGGAAATAGTTTGGAAATTTCTTTAAAAATTAAACATATACTTCCCATATAAGTCAGAAATTTCACTCCTGAGCATTTATTCCAGAGAAATAAAAACTTACATCTGCACCGAAGTCTATATATGATTGTTCATAGCATATTCACTTGTAATAGTCAAAATATCCTCCAGTAGATGGAGAGTTAAACAAACTGTAATACATCTCCACCATGGAGAATGGAATACTATTCAGTAATAAAAAGGAAAAAACTACTGATACATGCAACAACATGGATGGATCTCAAGGTCAACATGCTGAGTGAAAAAGGACAATCTCAAAAGATTACATATTATATGATTCTATGTATATGACATTCTCAAAATGACAAAATTATAGAGATGGAAAAACAATTAGTGGTGGTCTGGGTTAGGGGTGGTAGAGGGAGAGGAGGAAAGTGGATGTGATGAGATCTTTATTATGGTGTAATAGCTGATCGTGGTGGTAGTTATACAAATCTACGCATGGGATAAAATGCCCAGAATTAAACTTACGTGTATCAGTGCCAAATTCCTGTTTCTGATATTGTGCTATATGATGCAGGGGTACAGGGGAACTCTCTGTACTATCTTTGCAATTTCTTTTGACCCTATAATTATTCCATGATAAAAAGTTTTTTAAAAGTCATGAGGAAGACAAACTCTAAAATAACAACCTTATAAACTGTAAATTGACTCTGATACCAGATCTAAGAAGAGTATGGAAAATATGAAGTAAAGAAGAAAACATCAGTGAAAAATGAGTTATTCCAATCATATATTTTTCCCCACTGGTAAAATTTTTTAAAAGTGCTTTAAGAAGATAATTCCTTGAGACTTCCCTGGTGGCACAGTGGTTAAGAATCCGCCTGCCAATGCAGGGGACACGGGTTCAAGCCCTGGTCCGGGAAGATCCCACATGCCACGGAGCAAGTAAGCCCATGCACCACAACTGCTGAGCATGTGCTCTAGAGCCCGCGAGTCACAACTACTGAAGCCCGCGCGCCTAGAGCCCGTGCTTGGCAACAAGAGAAGCCACCGCAATGAGAAGCCCGCGCATCGCAACAAAGAGTAGCCCGCACGCAGCAACGAAGACCTAATGCAGCCAAAAATAAATAAATTTATTAAAAAATAATAATACTTCCTTATTTTTTGACTCTCTGGATGCTATCTTCATAAGTAAAACTATTTTTGAAATAACTTACTAATCATTTTTCAAGATTTTTTTCAAGTCATAATCAGTTTTACTGCAGAAGGACCCTGTACACATTTATCAATTCTAGTACCTTAATAGCTACCCAACAAGTCACCAACAGACAGAGGAACATGCATCATGAGAAGCAAGAAACATCACCATCCCTTCCGGTGTTAGCAACTTGTCACTCCTAAGTAGCGCTCACATCACTGAGGTCTGTGAACACTTTTCGCATTCATCCTGTGTGAAAGATGGAATAACTTCAGTACAAATGCAACATATTATAAGCAATTTCTTACAAAAAAGTCACAAATTAAACCAAAGCATTTTACAGAATGCAAACACCATGAAAAGAAAAATGCCTTCACTTAAGCTCTCTCTCCCCACATCCAGCGAGCCAGCTGGATGTCTTTGGGCCTGATGGTGACTCTCTTAGCACGGACGGCACGCAGATTAGGACCTTCAAGTAAGCCCACCAGGTATGCTTCACTAGCTTCCTGAAGCACGCCTGTGGCAGCACTCGGAAACCTCCAGTCAGTTTTGAAATCCTGGGCAATCTCCCTTATCCACCTCTGGAAAATCAGCTTCCAGATCAGAAGCTCAGTTGATTTCTGGTAACAGATCTGGGCCTGCCGCGGTGAGGTTTTCTCACCCCGCCGATAGAGGGGGCTCTTTTCCAGCAGTCTTAGTGGCCAGCTCCTTGCAGGCGCTTTCCTGCCCGAGGATCTGCAAGCAGTCCTCTTGGTTAGCATCCAACGCCGAAGTCTTAGGCCACTTTGACCACCGCATGGCTTCTGCTGCCCAACGAAGAGCCGCAGTTGTGAGTCAAGGAAAAGAATCTCCTTCAAAGAACGACCAAACCGCTCTGTGCTCTACTAACCACTTTTAATAGCTGAAGGTAACAGAATATTGAGATTTACCCAAATTATGCATTCTAGGAAATAGTTATTTATAGTAAACAAGTTATTGGGGAAAAAGTTTGTATAGCACGCTTCCGTGCACAAAAAAAGGTAGTCATATTAATAAATGTGACACTTCTGTATAATTTTGTTTATCAGTTTTAGGACATGCAGACAGTACCACAAGTCTTTTTTTAAGTGTGACAGACCCAGAGATTAATGATGAATTCAACTCCACATCTGCTTTACTTGGCTGCCAAGAGATTTCTGGGTGTCACACAGCAAACTTAGTGAATCTGACTGAAGAAATATTTATAGAGTGAAACAATCAGTTGAGGAAAAGATCATGTAATTCTCTCTGACACTGAAACAAACATGGTGAAAGCTATGAGCGATTTAGGAAGGAACCCCAAGCATATGATGTTGTGTTTTCACCCTTTATTTGTGTCCAGTTTTTGGTTGCTTCAGGGAGGACAGTAAAACTAGTCCCTGATATTCCACCTTGACTGAAAGGGGATGGCCCCAGATTGGCTTTTAAACATACTATTTCACGTAATAGAAACTTTAGTAGAATTTCAGGAATTGTGATGTGAAATTCAGAAATATGATCGAAAAATTGGTCCTTAAGGTAGAAGACATTTTCTGTTAGTGCTTAAGAGTCTTTCTGTATATTAATTTCTATATCTTTGTTTGTTCTCCACTTTTAAGCCTTAAGAGCATCATAAACATTTAACATTTATATTTACAAATGAATTGCATGGGGAAAGGCAGAGGGGCATAGACAGAAGCAGTCCTTAGTGAGTGTGTAAACTCTAAATTAGTAACAGCCCTTAATCTATTACAGAAAGTTGATGTTTTCTATGGCAGTGTTTTAAAGTGGGGCACATTTACTCAATCAGAATGGCCTAATGGACAGAAGATTGGCAAGAGATTCTACTTGTCTGTTCTACTGGAGCCTACTGCAGGGTCTACCCCTAAACCAGCCATGTGACCCTGTACCTCATGTAATTCCTTTAAACCTCAGGTTTTTTCACCTGTGAAATGAGGTGGCTACATAACATCAATGTAAAATTGCCCAGGGTCATTTACTCAAATATTTAAATCACAAAGGGTTATTATTCAAACTTCTTAAAACGCAATATGGCAGTGGGGATGGGAATAGAAATTCTGAGGAGAGTAATGAAAGTCTGGATTAGCCCCTATGGAGAAAGGAAGAGTAAGCCGAACAACGATGTGTAGAAGGATAGACCTGGGGTGCTTAGGGGCCAGCCGAGAGTGGGATTCTTTGGTCTCCATCTTCACAAAGGTGTTCTCGGCGAGTAATTTTCTTCTATGACATATCTACTGTGTTTTAGTGGCCAGAGAGCCTATACTAGATGAATGAATGAATGAGTGAACGAAGAGATCATTAGATGCGGGTTGAGAGCATGGACTTATTACCTCTCAGGTATGTTTCAACCTAGGATCCTATATTACCATGACACACAAGAACGCAGGTGAAAAGGGTGAAGGGAACAGAGATAAAGATGAAATTAATTTTACATCAGAAGAATCAAGGAGGCTTGATGAAGGCAGGAGCTGAGCCTTGACGGCTCATGCCATTTGATGGACTCATCTGACTGTGTGTATCACAATCCAGAGACCAAGAATTAATCCCAGAAACATGATAACCAACTCTTGGAGAAGAGCATGTATCTTTACTGTAGCTTTTCTTACATGGTGGGGCTGGAGGTTTCACAAATTCTTCACAGATAAGCTTCTGAAACTCCTGTTTCAGAAGTCTGACACAGAATTTTCTCTCTAAACCTTCCACTCACAACAGCTACAAGAACTTTTCCCCATCTTTCATCCGCACACTACTCTCTCCACACCACCATTCCCCTGCCCTGCCGTCCAGGCGGAGAGGACCAGCGTGACCTCCTCTCCTACCCTGCAGCTGTGCAGGTCCCTCCAGGAGCACCCGGGCATCCAAAGTCCTTGCCTGGTCCTCTGTTTTACCCACAGGGAAAGTGCACAGAGCTCTTGGGACATGGGCTTTGTTTCTCACTCTGACCACTTTTCTCCTGAAATATTCTCTCTTTTTTTTTTAACATCTTTATTGGAGTATAATTGCTTTACAATGGTGTGTTAGTTTCTGTTGTACAACAAAGTGAATCTGCTATATGTATACATATGTCCCCATATCTCCTCCCTCTTGCTTCTCCCTCCCCCCTCCCCATCCCACCCCTCTAGGTGGACAAAAAGCACCGAGCTGATCTCCCTGTGCTATGCGGCTGCTTCCTACTAGCTATCTATTTTACATTTGGTAGTGTATATATGTCCTTGCCACTCTCTCACTTCGTCCCAGCTTACCCTTCCCCCTCCCTGTGTCTTCATGCCCATTCTCTATGTCTGCGTCTTTATTCCTGTCCTGCCCCTAGGTTCCTCAGAACCTTTTTTTTTTTTTTAGATTCCATATATATGCGTTAACATACGGTATTTGTTTTTCTCTTTCTGCCTTAGTTCGTTCTGTATGACAGTCTCTAGGTCCATCCACCTCACTACAAATAACTCAATTTTGTTTCTTTTTATGGCTGAGCAATATTCCATTGTATATATGTGCCACATCTTCTTTATCCATTCATCTGTCGATGGACACTTAGGTTGCTTCCATGACCTGGCTATTGTAAATAGAGCTGCAACGAACATTGTGGTACATGACTCTTTTTGAATTATGGTTTTCTCAGGGTATATGCCTGAAATATTCTTAAGAAGAATTTCTGGTGAAAAAATTCTCCATTGCAATACAGTTAAAAATCTTTGAAGAGTCAAATAAATGCAGTTGTTTAAAACTAAATTTAAATATAAGCTGTCGGGCTTCCCTGGTGGCGCAGTGGTTGGGAGTCCACCTGCTGATGCGGGGGACACGGGTTCGTGCCCCGGTCCAGGAGGATCCCACATGCCGCGGAGCGGTTGGGCCCGTGAGCCATGGCCGCTGAGCCTGTGCGTCCGGGGCCTGTGCTCCGCAGCGGGAGAGGCCACAGCGGTGAGAGGCCCGTGTACCGCAAAAAAAAAAAAAATATATATATATATATATATATATAAGCTGTATATAAAAATATACATAATCAGTTGGTAATTTGGTAGAGGGGATGGTTGGATAGAGACTCCTGTAGTTTCCTGTTCTCTAGTTGGCTGTGAGTCCTGTTTCCCCTAACTTAGGATAGCAGATGGACTGTCTTGTTGTTCTGAATATGTTACACATGTTCTATACCACATCATTCTAGACATGAAAATACCACCCTTCATCTTTCTCCCTAAACATTTGTGCACATAGCGACCTCTCTGAACATTTAAGAGTAACAAGAAAGGGCCCACACCACAGATAATTTAACACTTAATACTCGACTTCACTGTTCTCAGAAGCCCCATGACTATTTCCTACAAGTCAGCACAGATCCCCTTAGAAGGCAAAAGAGACCAGATGAAGAAAGATTTAAAAGGACCAGGAGGGCTTCCCTGGTGGCGCAGTGGTTGAGAGTCTGCCTGCCGATGCAGGGGACACAGGTTCGTGCCCCGGTCCGGGAAGATCCCACGTGCCGCGGAGCGGCTGGGCCCCTGAGCCATGGCCGCTGAGCCTGCGCGTCCGGAGCCTGTGCTCCGCAACGGGAGGGGCCGCGACAGTGAGAGGCCCGCGTACTGCAAAAAAAAAAAAAAAGGACCAGGAATATAGTCTTATAGCCTAAAAGACCCTATGAGCAAGAAGCCAGATGAGGATTGATCTTATATTGAAATCTTCAATCAAAATCAACTGGTTTTCCTTTCCTTATCCTATACATTTCAAACTGTTCAGAGAAAAATACAGTGGGAACTTATAGATATTTCCTTGAACTATATTATGTACTTATAAATCCATTGTTTTCAGTAGTAGAATTACAGTGTGAAATTTAAGGTCATTGGCTTTCACACTGCTTTAGGAAATAGGATGCAAAAAATAGAGAAAAATATTTCACAAATATGCATAAAATCTAAAAGTACCTTTATTTTATTTATTTATTTATTTTTTTTTTTGCGGTACGCGGGCCTCTCACTGCTGTGGCCTCTTCCCTTGCGGAGCACAGGCTCCGGACGCGCAGGCTCAGCGGCCATGGCTCACGGGCCCAGCCGCTCCGCTGCATGTGGGATCTTCCCGGACCGGGGCACGAACCCATATCCCCTGCATCGGCAGGCGGACTCTCAACCACTGCGCCACCAGGGAAGCCCGAAAAGTACCTTTATTTTAGATTTTAATACATATCCATCTAATTTTCACTAGTTTTCTTTTTCTCTTTCAATCTAAGTAAATATATATACACACATATACATATATATGATATTGTTATTGTTATTATGCAGTAAGAACATAGATCAATTACTATTTCAAATACGCCTCACTGTACCCATGGAGCTTAGGAAGAAACAAGAGTGGTGGTTCCTATTTTGAGATTATGGAAACTGAAGCACAGAGGGGTTAAATGCCTTCCTTACCACAAGGTCACAGAGAGAATCTCTGCCGGGGAGGGAGAGAAGGGGCCTTTCCGTCACTGCACGCTGTTTTATATGTTAACCATCAGGCACATGCTAAGTCAATGGATGCTGGCACTTTACATAAGTATATGATGATGCAGTGCTCTATGTAATAAAAATCTCAAGCATGAAACGTGGAAGCAATTCAAGAAAACAGATCTCACATCTTTGCCTTTGTCAGAGTCAGAATCTGACATGCTCTGATTAAAATTCAACATCTGAAGGCATTTAAAATTAAAATATACAGGTATTCACGTTTTCCTCCTTCCAGTGTTTCGTTGCTGCTTTTTTCATCTTAAATATTAAAA